TTGCATTAAAAGGGCTATGAAGTTGATGTTATGACGTGTGTAATCAATCACCTTCTTTGTAGCTACAGAAGATTCCGCTGTACGATAGTGGTATATAATACCGACAAGTTAAGAATAAGACACACGTACAGTACTCTGGTAGCTTAGTTTCAAAACAAAGTGACTAAAACTGGAGACAGCAGAAATGGAGAGGTAAAACTGACCTCAAATCACCTTTTCTAAGCTGATGGACTGATCACATCATCTTTACCTTCCCGCTAATACTGCTGTCCCCAGTTTTACCCGCCTCTGTATTTGACTGAAGAAGCCTGTGTACTGTGTAAAAAAAAGCTTCGAAATTTGATACCAATTTTTTGTACATGTTTCTTATTCATCAAAATCCCATTCTTATAATTTCCTCTTTGCTTATGGCTCTCACTATTTCTTCTATTTCATTCCCTCAATCTATTTGTAAACATATATTTTCTACTGATGGCTATGATTAAAAATAGCGCCGCCTACATAGTAGGCACATCAGCAATTATATATACACTTTCCAGTTATTGTGCAGAATCCAACTAAGGGCAATGTGTGGTGTGAATATTATGCAGAGAATTCGGAGTGTGGAAATTAGGAGGAGGTGTGGAGTTACTAAAAGTATTAGTCAGAGGGCTGAAGACGGACTGTTCATTAAGGTGGTTTGGTCATTCAGAGAGAATGGAACAAAGTAGAATGACCTGGAGAGCGTATAAATCTATTGGTGAAAGAAGGCGGGGTAGGGGTCGTCCCCGAAAAAGTTGGGGGGAGGGGGTCAGGTGATTTTGTGGGCGAGGGGCCTGGACTTAAGAACATAAGAACATAAGAATGGAGAATCACTGCAGCAGGCCTGTTGGCTCATACTCGGCAGGTCCTTTACAATCCATCCCACTAACAAAACATTTGCCCAACCCAATTTTCAATGCTACCCAAGAAATAAGGTCTGATAACTGTATCCGCTCATTTGCAAGTCCCACTCAAATCCAACCCCTCTCACTCATATATTTATCCAACCTAAATTTGAAACTACCTAAAGTCCTAGCCTCAATAACCCAACTAGGTAGACTGTTCCACTCATCAACTACCCTATTTCCAAACCAATACTTTCCTATGTCCTTTCTAAATCTAAACTTGTCTAATTTAAATCCATTACTGCGGGTTCTCTCTTGGAGAGATATCCTCAAGACCTTATTAATATCCCCTTTATTAATACCCATCTTCCACTTATACACTTCGATCATGTCTCCCCTCATTCTTCGTCTAACAAGTGAATGTAATTTAAGAGTCTTCAATCTTTCTTCATAAGGAAGATTTCTAATGCTATGTATTAATTTAGTCATTCTACGTTAAATGTTTTCTAACGAATTTATGTCCATTCTGTAATATGGAGACCAGAACTGAGCTGCATAATCTAGGTGAGGCCTTACTAATGATGTATAAAGCTGCAGTATGACCTCTGGACTTGTGTTGCTTACACTTCTTGATATAAATCCCAATAATCTATTTGCCTTATTACGTACGCTTAGGCATTGCTGTCTTGTAAAGTAAAAGGACACAAGTGCAACTAATGTGACATTTATTGTGGCAACGTTTCGCTCTCCAGGAGCTTTATCAAGCTTGATAAAGCTCCTGGAGAGCGAAACGTTGCCACAATAAATGTCACATTAGTTGCACTTGTGTCCTTTTACTTTACATATTGTCGGTAATTCTACCAACTTTATTGCTGTCTTGGTTTAAGGTTGCTGCTCACCATAACCCCCAAGTCCTTTTTGCAATCTGTATGGCTAAGTTCTACATTATTTAACTTATAAGTGCTAGGGATATGGACACTCCCGACCTTCAGAACCTTGCATTTATCTACATTGAACTGCATCTGCCACTTTTCTGACCAAGAATAGAGATTGTCTGAATCCTCCTGAAGTTCCCTAACATCTACATTTGAATCAATTATCCTACCTATCTTTGTGTCATCGGCGAATTTGCTCATATCACTAGTAATACCCTCATCAAGGTCATTGATATATATTATAAACAACAACGGGCCTAAGACTGATCCCTGTGGTACGCCACTTGTTACAGATCCCACTCGGATTTAACCCCATTTATGGACACTCTCTGCTTCCTGTCTGTGAGCCATGACTCGATCCATGAGAGCACTTTTTCCTGAATGCCATGAGCTGCCACTTTCTTTAACAGTCTTTGGTGCGGAACTCTATCAAAAGCCTAACTAAAATCTAAGTAAATAATATCAAATTCTTTTTCGTGATCAACAGCCTCAAAAGCTTTACTGAAGAAAGTTAATAAATTATTTAGACAAGAACGGCCTCCCTTGAATCCATACTGAGTATCATTAATCAGATTATGCTTATCCAGATGGCTTCTTATAATCTCAACTATAATTGACTCTAGCAATTTGTCTACAGGTTTGTAGATGAATGGTTCAGAGAACCGACATGTTGATAAATTAGACACATGTGCAACTCTTGGGTATCTTTATTGAGGAAAAGTTTCGCCACACAGTGGCTTCATTCTATTCAAGATTGATGGACTGACCACATCGACTCAAGGTTGAGGGACTGATTACCTCATTCTCCTCCTGTTCTTCAAGATTCTCCTTTGCATGGACTGATGAAGCCACTGTGTGGCGAAACGTTTCCTCAATAAAGATACCCAAGAGTTGCACATGTGTCTAATTTATCAACATGTCGGTTCTCTGAACCATTCATCTACAAACCTGTCAGACACTGCAACTTCTTGGGATCTTAATACTTGGGAATTCTTCGCTTGCCTAATTCTTGGGCACGACCTACTTCAACATTGAACAAATGTTACACGACCTATGACTTCTGCACCTCTCCTGCCAACGGTTTATAAGCTCCTTCTCAGCACGTATGCCGTATTCTATTCAAGATTGATGGACTGACCACATCGACTCAAGGTTGAGGGACTGATTACCTCATTCTCCTCCTGTTCTTCAAGATTCTCCTTTGCATGGACTGATGAAGCCACTGTGTGGCGAAACGTTTCCTCAATAAAGATACCCAAGAGTTGCACATGTGTCTAATTTATCAATTTGTCTACAATTGAGGTCAGGCTTATTGGGCGGTAATTTGACGGTAATGACTTATCCCCTGATTTAAAAATAGGAATTACATTAGCCATCTTCCACATATCAGACACTACACCTCTTTGAAGAGATAAATTAAAAACATTAGTTAATGGTTCACAGAGTTCCATTTTGCATTCCTTAAGAACCCCTGAAAAAAGCTCATCAGGACCCGGCGACTTATTTTCGTTCAGTCGATCTATTTGTTTCATAACCATTTCACTAGTGACTGTGATGTTACATAATTTATCTTCTTCAGACCCACTATAAAAATTAATTACTGGGATATTGTTAGTGTCTTCCTGTGTAAAAACCGAGAGAAAATAATTATTTAAAATCGAGCACATTTCATTCTCTTTGTCAGTAAGATGCCCATAGTTATTTTTAAGGGGACCTATCTTATCTCTAATTTTTGTTCTATAGACCTGGAAAAAACTTTTGGGTTAGTTTTAGAATCCCTAGCAACTTTAATTTCATAGTCTCTTTTAGCTTTTCTTATCACCTTTTTAACGTCCCACTTAATGTCAATATACTGATTCATAAGATGACTCTCTTTTCTTTTGATACGCAAGCATGCCAGAGCGTGTTAGACAGGAGTGAATGGAGACGAATAGTTTTTGGGACCTGACGTACTGTTAGAGTGTGAGCAGGGTAATATTTTGTAAAGGGATTCAGGGAAACCGGTAAGCTGGACTTGAGTCCTGGAAGTGCAAAGTACAATGCCTGCACTTTATAGGAGGGGTTTAGGATATTAGCAGTTTGGAGGGAGTTCTAAATTGTCGTATCTGAGCGCTTCTGCAAAGACAGTGATTATGTATGAGTGATGGTGAAAGTGTTGAATAATGATGAAAGTTTTTTCTTTTTTTTTTGAGAGAGGGGAGGGAGTTCTTTCTTTTAGGGTCACCATGCCTTGGTGGAAAACGGCCAACGTGTTAAAAAAAAAAAATATTCTACTGCTCCTTCTACTCTGCTTCTACAAACCAAAGTTAGGATCTCTCCTCCCTGTTTTGACACAAAGTAATCCTCCTCGTTTATGCGTTTCACAACGTACATTCCGCCATTCTGGATTCCATTTTTGTCGCGTTCCTTGAAACTTTATGTTTATTGTATGTGAGCTTTATCACAAGTACCGATCAAGTTGTTAATAACAAATGGGACAACATTTCGTTATCTATACATGTGAAAGCTCGCACTGCAGAGCTAATGTTAAAAAGCAAAAATAGTATATGAGTTTCCTGCCGCCAGAGGCGCCTAGAATATTGACAAAAGAATAAAACTTCACAACACCGTGGCTGGAACGATTAATAAAAAAAACGCACTTATGACAAGAACCTTTTGCCGATGTTTCGCTCCATCCTGGACCATCAAGACGTCACAACTGAAGCAAGAATATTATCTGTTGTTCAAGTACTATGTATATTAATACCGAGAAACTTGAGGGTAAATACACGTATGGAACACAGGACGTTTTATTGAGTAAACGTTTCGCCCACTAGGAGCTTAGCAGAGTTTGCTGAAAACAGGGCTTAATTAGTAGAAAAAGGAGACGTGAAGTGGACAGAAGAGGCCGAGTAAAGTGGAGAGAGGAGGTCGAGTAAAGTGGAGAGAGGTCATGTGGAAGGGAGGGAAGTCAAGTGAAGTGAAGAGAAGCCAGGTGAAGTGAAGAGAAGCCAGGTGAAGTGAAGAGAAGTCAAGTTTAAAGGACAAAAGTCAGTGAAGTGGACAGAGGTTACTTGAAAGGTAAAGAGCTCAGGTGAAGCGGAGAGAGAGGTCAGGTGAAGTGGAGAGAGAGGTCAGGAGAAGTGGAGAGAGAGGTCAGAAGTGGAGAGAGAGGTCAGGTAAAGCAGAGAGAGAGGTCAGGTCAGGCGGAGAGAGAGAGAGAGATGAATTTAATGATGTTATATCATCAGTCTTTTAAAGATTATCCCATTTTTTATATACTCATCAAATATAGACAGATTGGTTAATTTCCCCTTTGTTTTGCTTTGATTCAAGTTGACCTCCATGTTTTTGTTTTGCTTTGATTCTGGTTGACCTCCATTTTTATTTGTTTTGATTCTTTCAAACTTCCATGTTTGTCCAGCTTGACTTTTTTGACAAGTCACTTGACGAGTGAGTTAGGGTCAACTTTTCTGAAAATTTCGGATTACCTTCATTTCTACTTTCATAGAGTGCTTTCGCTTTTCAATTTACTTCTCATATTTTTTTCTTATTCTCATTCATCAGGTCTTGCTTTATTATTATATCTTTCAAGTCTTTATTTTTCCTTTATGTATTTGTCTTTACTTTTAGTTCTTCTTAGTCTGTCTTAACCTGAGTAAGTCTTCTTTATAGCTACCAATTTCTTTCTCGATATTTTTAATTCTTATGTATCCTTTCTTCCTTTTAATCTCTTTCATCTTAATGTCACATTTCTCTCTCCCGATGCCTTCAACGATTTACGATTATGTACAATGCTTTTTTTTTTTTTTTACCTCTGTGAACAGAGCTGCGCAGGTCATTCTTTTGCCTTTCCACCATTTTGTTTTCCAGCTTTTCTGCCTCAATGAATGTCGTTACATATCTCACTTGTTTTTATTTTGTTTGATTCTACCTCTTTCGTTTAATTTTTAATTAGTTTACTATTCATGTATTGATTCGATAATTTTTGATCTAGCAAACTAAAGACCACAGAGGTACCTTTGGTAGACATTAAATAAAACTGTAGAAAACTATATAAGCCAGAAAGCTACCTGGCTTGTGCTAGACTGATCTTTCTCCTATCCAGCCCTCTCACTTGTAGAGTTTCCAGCATGGAAACATTTATAGATGATGTTCCACTTTGACACATAGTTTCATTAAGTCTCATGCACCACAAACAAGGCAGGACATTTACATAGGTCATCATTTGATGACTAAGATAATATGCAACACTTGGTTATCTTTACTGCCTGCACAACAGGAAGCAGTAGACTTCTGGAAGCAATTGAAGTTGTTTTGATATTATAGTCCGGTCACTCTTGGCGGGATGTGGTCAGTCCCTCAAGCCTGAGGGACTGACCACCTCCCACCGAGGGAGACGGACTGATAGCCTCCAAAAATTTCAACTACTTCCAGAATTCTACCACTTCTTGTATTCTACTGAAGAAGCCTGTGTTCAGGTGAAACGTTCGATAATAAAGATAACTAAATGTATGTGTTTTATTAAACAGATCAACAGTGCAGGTGAACAGATAGACTGAGGTGACACTTTAAGTCAGGTCAGAAGGTTGGCCAAGCAGGTGGGCGGAGGTCTACTGAGTCTAAACTCATCCATATTCTGTATTAGTAGTGCTAGTTAGGGCTGATTCATTCGAAGCACTGTCGTGTATCTCAGTTTATTTTTTTAAATAATTAGCTTGGGCTCGGCTCGTTACATGAGGTGAAGATGTGTGTTACGATGACTGACACACACTCAAAGTGTCGTCAATCAAGTAGGTGTACCTATGCTCTCCATTGCTTGCGTAAAAGTCCCTGGTTGTTTCACCAGCGTAAACCTTGTTTATCAGCCATCACAGAGAACGGCGTAAAACCCAGCTTCACATTGTTTCCTGGAGGCCACAGACTAGATATTTCAGAAGATAACAGAATTCAAACGACGGAGGTTAGAAACAGTTTTATTTTAGCCCTACCAACACTATCACACAGCAAGGGAGTGGCTCTTGACTCCCTTACCTTCCCCTCGGTCAACTGCGTGACCTGGCGTGAAGGACCAACTTTCTCTCCCTTTGCTGTCACTTCTGCCAACATATTGCATACCTCTCCAGGTAGTGTCTATGAAAGATTTAGTAAAACTTTATGTCTAAGCTAAACATCGTCTGCTAACACAGATTTCTCTACACTTCATGTGAGTTTCTGACTTACACTATGTTGCCATGTTATACCCCCCGTGCCAACGTGAATCTATTGTTTCCGGTTGTTTGTTCTGTATCTCTTCTAGTTCTTTATTCATTCTATCTGTCTTCTCCGTTTCTTGTAATGAACTCACTATTTCTTTAATTATTACCTAACTTTGGATGTTATTATTTATCAGCAATGAAATATATTAATTTCGTGTACAGACTAGTTTTTTTTTTCACTGAGATATGAAAAAAATGGAATTACGCTCGGCTTGTTTTGCAAAATGATTCTTCACAAATAGCTTTCACGTAGAAGATGTAGCTTATAACGACGTTTCGATGCGTCCAGCACCGTTGGTTCACAACGGACCGAAACATCGTCATAGGCATCATCTCCTTAGTACTGATTATTTGTAAATTGTTCCGACCACGGTATTGCGACTGCTTATTTTTCCAAATGATTCCTGCAAACTAGGTCAAGATGTCAAGATCTTAAAATCCCACCACTGCCACAGTCTGCCATTCCACTGCCACCAGCTGTCGTCCCACTCACACCAGGTGACATCCCACTCACACCAGATGACATCCCACTCACACTTGCTGTCAACACCACCAGTCAAATACATCCCCGAGGTCGCTCCAGCTGTGTCTCAAATAATTCTTGTTACGGCGAGAGAGAGAGAGTGAAGGAGGGAGAGAGAGAGAGAGAGAGAGAGAGAGAGAGAGAGAGAGAAGAGAGAGAGAGAGAGAGACAGGAAGACAGACAGATAGACAGACAGACAAACAGACAGAGAGGGAGAGAGAGAGAGAGAGAGAGACAGAGGGCAGAGAGAGAGAGAGAGGGGAGAGAGAGAGAGAGAGAGAGAGAGAGAGAGAGAGAGAGAGAGGGGAGAGAGAGACAGACAGACAGACAGGGAAAGAGTGAGAGAAAAAACATAAAATTTGCAGATATGCCTAGAAGGGAATAGACGAAGGACTGGTAAGTGATAATGAGACAAAAGAAAAGGAGCAGGAAGAAGGAAACAGAGAACAGGGCAATCAGTGATTAAGCAAGTATCAATACAAATCGTTACACAAGCAAACAAATTATATACACACACACACACACACACACACACACACACACACACACACACACACACACACACACACACACACACACACACACACACACACACACACATATATATATATATAATATATATATATATATATACATACATACATACATATTTATTATTAACACACTGGCCGATTCCCACCAAGGCAGGGTGGCCCGAAAAGAAAAACTTTCACCATCATTCACTCCATCACTGTCTTGCCAGAAGGGTGCTTTACACTACAGTTTTTTAAACTGCAACATTAACATCCCTCCTTCAGAGCAGGTTGGTAGACAACAACCACCCAGGGAAGTACTACCGTCCTGCCAGATGACTGTGAAACAGAAACCTGTAACTGTTTTACATGATGGTAGATTGCTGGTGTCTTTTTCTGTCTCAAAAACACGCTAGATAACAGGGATATCTTGCTACTCCTATTTACACTTTGGTCACATTTCACAGACACGCACATGCATATATATATATATATATAATAAATATATATATATATATATATATATATATATATATATATATATATATTATATATATATATATATATATATATATATATATATATACATATATATATATATATATATATATATATATATATATATATATATATATATATATAATATATATTTTCATCTAGGTTTTTCCTCCTTTTTCTAAATAGCTCTTGTTCTTCTTTATTTCTTCTATTGTCCATGGGGAAGTGGAAAAGAATCTTTCCTCCGTAAGCAATGCGTGTCGTATGAGGCGACTAAATGCCGGGAGCGATGGGCTAGTAACCCCTTCTCCTGTAGACATTTACTAAATAAGAGAAGAAGAAAAACTTTATGTATATGTATATATATATATATATATATATATATATATATATATATATATATATATATATATATAATATATATATATATATATATATATATATATATATATAAATATATATATTTATTAATCACACTGGCCGATTCCCACCAAGGCAGGGTGGCCCGAAAAAAAAAACTTTCACCATCATTCACTCCATCACTGTCTTGCCAGAAGGGGCTTTACACTACAGTTTTTAAACTGCAAACATTAACACCCCTCCTTCAGAGTGCAGGCACTGTACTTCCCATCTCCAGGACTCAAGTCCGGCCTGCCGGTTTCCCTGAACTCCTTCATAAATGTTACTTTGCTCAAACTCCAACAGCACGTCATGTATTAAAAACCATTCGTCTCCATTCACTCCTATCAAACACGCTCACGCACGCCTGCTGGAAGTCCAAGCCCCTCGCACACAAAACCTCCTTTACCCCCTCCCTCCAACCTTTCCTAGGCCGACCCCTACCCCGCCTTCCTTCCACTACAGACTGATACACTCTTGAAGTCATTCTGTTTCGCTCCATTCTCTCTACATGTCCGAACCACCTCAACAACCCTTCCTCAGCCCTCTGGACAACAGTTTTGGTAATCCCGCACCTCCTCCTAACTTCCAAACTACGAATTCTCTGCATTATATTCACACCACACATTGCCCTCAGACATGACATCTCCACTGCCTCCAGCCTTCTCGCTGCAACATTCATCACCCATGCTTCACACCCATATAAGAGTGTTGGTAAAACTATACTCTCATACATTCCCCTCTTTGCCTCCAAGGACTAAGTTCTTTGTCTCCACAGACTCCTAAGTGCACCACTCACCCTTTTCCCCTCATCAATTCTATGATTCACCTCATCCTTCATAGACCCATCCGCTGACACGTCCACTCCCAAATATCTGAATACATTCACCTCCTCCATACTCTCTCCCTCCAATCTGATATCCAATCTTTCATAACCTTACTCTTTCCTGTATTCACTTTTAATTTTCTTCTTTTGCACACCCTACCAAATTCATCCACCAATCTCTGCAACTTCTCTTCAGAATCTCCCAAGAGCACAGTGTCATCAGCAAAGAGCAACTGTGACAACTCCCACTTTATGTGTGATTCTTTATCTTTTAACTCCACGCCTCTTGTCAAGACCCTCGCATTTACTACTCTTACAACCCCATCTATAAATATATTAAACAACCACGGTGACATCACACATCCTTGTCTTAGGCCTACTTTTACTGGGAAATAATTTCCCTTTTTACTATGTACTCTAACTTGAGCCTCACTATCCTCGTAAAAACTCTTCACTGCTTTCAGTAACCTACCTCCTACACCATACACCTGCAACATCTGCCACATTGCCCCCTATCCACCCTGTCATACGCCTTTTCCAAATCCATAAATGCCACAAAAACCTCTTTAGCCTTATCTAAATACTGTTCACTTATATGTTTCACTGTAAACACCTGGTCCACACACCCCCTACCTTTCCTAAAGCCTCCTTGTTCATCTGCTATCCCATTCTCAGTCTTACTTTTTAAATTTTTTCAATAATAATTACCCCAAATTTTGGGGGGGAAAGGGTTTTTAAAAATTTCCCCTTTTTTTTCCCCCAAAAATTTTACAAAAAAAAAAAAAAATTTTTTTTAAAAATTTTGGGGAAAAAAATTTTTTAAAAAATTTTTTTTTCCCCCAAAAATTTTTGGGGGGTTTTAAAAATTTTTTAAAAATTTTTTGGGGGGAAAAAGGGGGGGGGAAAAAATTTTTTTTTTTTTTTTTTTAAAAAAATTTTTTAAAAAAAGGGGGGGTTTTTTTCCCCCTTTAAAAAAAAAACCCCTTTTTTCCCCTTTAAGCCCCTTTTTTGGGAACCCCCCCCCCCCCCCCCCCCCCCCCCCAAAAAACCCAAAAACCCCTTAAAACCCCTTTTTCCAAAACCCCCCCCCAAAAAAATTTTTCCCAAAATTTTAAATTTTCCAAAAAAAGGGGGTTTTTTCCCAAAAAAATTTAAAAAAAAAAATTTTTTTTAAAAAAAAAAAAAAAAAACCCCTTTTAACCCCCCCCCCAAAAATTTTTTAAAAAAAAAAAAATTTTTTTTTTTTTGGGGGGAAAAATTTTTTGGGGAAAAAGGGGGGTTTTTTTTTAAAAAACCCCCCAAAAAAAATTTTTTTTAAAAAAAAAAAAATTTTAAAAAAAAGGGGGTTTTAAAAAAAGGGGGGTTTTTTTTTTTAAAATTTTAAAAAATTTTTTTTTTAAAAACCCTTTTTTCCCCCCCCCCCCCCTTTTTTTAAAAAAAGGGGTTTTTTTTCCCCTTTTTTTTTTTAAAAAAAAAAAATTTTAAAACCTTTAACCAAAAAAGGGTTTTCCCCCTTTTTTTTTTTTTTTTTTTGGAAAATTTGGAAAAAAAAAAAACCCCCCCCTTTTTTTTTGGGGAAAAAATTAAAACCCCCCGGGGGGGAAAAAAAGGGGTTAATTTTTTTTTAAAAAAATTTTTTGGGTTTTTTTTTTTAAAAAAATTTTTTGGAAAAAAAAACCCAAAAAAAAAAAGGGGGGGAAAAAAACCAAAAAAAATTAAAAAAAAATTTTTTTGGGGGGAAAAAAACCCCGAAACCCCCGGAAAGGGGAAAAGGGTTTTTTTTTGGGGGGGGGGTTGGGGGGGGGGGTTTTTAAAAAAAGGGGTTTTTTGGGGGGGGGGGAAAAAAAGGGTTTAAAAAAAGGGGGGTGGGGGGTTTTGGGGGGGGGAAAAATTTTTGGGGGGGCCCCAAAAAAAAACCCCCCCCCCCCCCCCCCAAAAAAAAAAAAGGGGGGGGAAAGGGGCCCGGGGGGCCCCCCGGGGGGGGGGAAAATTTAAAAAACCCCCCCAAAAAATTTTAAAAAAAAAAAAATTTTTTAATTTTTTTTTTAAAAAAAAAATTTTTTTTTAAAAAAAAAAAAAAAAAAATTTAAAAAATTTTTAAAAAAAATTTTTTTTTTTAAAAAAAAAAAAAAAAAAAAATTTTTTTTAAAAAAAAAAAAAAAAATTTAAAATTTTTTAAAAAAATTTTTA